TATGAAATTATGAGGTTTTGTTAGAGAAAGAACTAAGGGACATCGGACAAAATATTTCAGTAGGGGGAAGAGCAACAGTTTCTGGAGGTGCCTGGTGCCATTGACGCACTTTTAAAAAGGATGGTAGATACAGGACCTGGGCCTACTGGAATCCATCCTACCAGAGGTCCAAGGCCATATGCAGATAAATGGGGTTAGATCAAGTTAGAAGAAAAGATTGAATATAAGTGTTTTCAAAAGACTTGTGTGTTTTACTGTCTTATGGATTTTGGTTTCTCCTATTATTGTAAAATATACATACATGTGTGATAAAATATTGGAAATTATGATTACAGAGAGCTTGTAAACCTATGCTTGATTGGATTTGTTAAAAGGAGAGTTAGAATTTGCCAGGAAAAAAACATGCTTTTTGCTTTAGGCCTTTGTAAAGTATGGGGGCTTTTGGTAGAATCCTGAGCCCCACCCAGAGTCTTCAGAATTGGTACATTTGCATTTAAAAAGACATGCAAACCTACCCAGCAGGTGATTGATTCTTGATTGAAAAAAAGCAGAAAACAATGCTGAGAGTTAGGCATTTTGAATTTCAGAGGCATCAAGGCAATAAAAGTCAGCCCATCAGAGAACACCCGCCTTCTAGGACTGAAAGTTAATGGGAACTGATGAACTGTTTGCTCTGCTCGCTGGTGACCACCACCTGGGTCTACAAGTGAGTGGAATTGAGGGAAATGTTGCCATGGAGACACAGGCTGAGTTTGGAAAGGTTTTCTTGGCACTCACTGACCTTGAGATGCTTCCTTGGGGGTGTGGCCTGCTCCCAATATAATGGTTATGAGGAAGGGACTTTCTCTCTTCCTCTGGGGACCTGGGATTCCGCAACTGTAAGCCATTTCCTTGATAATAAACATATATATATATACACACACATATATATATTTCACTAAGGAGCTCTGGTAGCATAGTGGTTACGAATTGGGCTGAGAAATGCAAGGTCAGCAGTTTGAAACTACCAGCGGCCATTGGAGAAAGATGAGGCTTTCTGCTCCCATGAAGATTTATAGCCTCGGAAACCCTGTACAGGGTCGCTATGAGTCGGAACCGACTCCGTGGCACATAACAACAACATTTCACTAGTTTTGCTTCTCTAGAAAACCTGGCCTAACATATCAGCCAAGTGTGATAAGTGTTTGCATCACCCAAGGGCTCCTTTTGGATGTAATACGCGGTAGGTAGGAAATCCTGGCTGCGTCAGATGTTGGCTCCAGAAGACTAACATCGCTGTTAGTCTTCTCATGGAATCCTGGTGTTCTGAAGTGGTGTCTTGGAGGCTACCATTTGCAGTAGTCCTTTTCTCCATCCCCTCCCCCTTGTGGACTTTTTCAACCATGGAACAACTACTTTAACAATAATGATGACATTAATAGTCCAAGCTGACATGTGTTGGGTACTTTACTATGTGGCAGACACTATTCTATATACCCCATTTGTATTAATTTCCTTAATCCTTACACTGTACCTATGAAGTTGAAACTATTACAGATTAGGAAACTGAGACATGAAAAGTTCTATATTGAGGTTCTATGAGGAAGAAAGACTTTGCTGATTCACCCCTTAAGGATTACAGTTCTCCTGTCACATGGGGTTGCTATGGTTTGGGATGGACTCCATGACACCTAGCAAGAACAATTATCACCCAATAACAGCGGAACATATTCTTTTCAAGTGCACATAGAACATTCACCCAGAGACCATAGCCTGAGTTACAAAAATGATTCATTCAAGTTAAATGAATAAATTTGGACCTATTTCAGTAAACTGATGGGTATGGGGCAAAAATAGCACCTTATTTACCTCCAAAGATGTGACATCACTTAAGAACTTTGTTGTGAATACAGTAGTAAAATTAAAGTGAGAAGTTAGGACCTGAAAGAAACTCTTAAAAAATTAAATGGCTTTGGTTTGTGTGTGCGTTTTGAGTCATTCAACTTCCTTAAAGTTTATTGGTAGTGGGTATGCTTTTATATTGTTTTATGACAGGATTGAATTTATTTTAATTAGTAAATGAATATTTTAGAGAAAGGTTCCATGTAAGATATCTTTTGAAAGAATTTTCTACTAATAACAAGTTTGGAAAAGCCTAAATTAGTTCATGACCTTTGTTCTATACACATGGAAGTAAAATCCCCAAAAAGCCTAGAAAAAATGGAGCTCATTTGCTCCGGGTCACACATTCATTCTGCTCTGTGGTCTAGGAGTTTAGAGGTAAACAAGCTGCTTGTGGAATGGCGCTGTAGGATAAGCGTTGGACTTGTAACTACAAAGTCAGTGGTTCAAACCCATCAGTTGCTCATAGGGTCACTATGAATCAGAACCTACTCGATGAAACGTAACCAATGAACAACAGACAAAAAATAAAGAGGCAGAAATAGTTCCGGAGAGTGCTGAGATAATAAATTTGGGGGGATGGGGCCAAATGACCAGAAGGGAGAGTGCTAATTAGGATTGAGTGGTGGTCCAGGAAGTGTGTGTGGTCTGAGGAGGGACCAGGTGAGCCTAGACCTAAAAGAGGGGAAGAAGCTAGTCCTGGGGCACTGTGGGAGAAGATCACTGCAGCCAAAGGGAACTGTGAGTGCAGAGGCCCCAAGGCCTCTCCTGGGCCAGTGCTCCTTTACCACCTGCTGCCTCTCAAGGCCCTCAGAGAGACTCCTTCCATGTCCTCACGGGACTAGTAGACATTCTCTCCCCAAACTCCAGCCCCAAATCTCCATGGCAACTCTCTGGAACAGAAAGCATAAGACTACTGTGAAGAGCCCAGAGGAGCTTCTTCTCCTGCTACTTGTGTTCTCCCCTGGCCCAACCAGGTCCCCAGACTCCAAGCTGAAGATTCTGCAGGTCTGCCCCACTGCTGAGCACAGCATGGCTGGATGGAGGACTGCCTCCCTCGCCTGCCCCAGAGGTTGCTTCCGCTGGGGGCATGTGCCCTGACAGTGTCTGCCCTGGAGACAGGCGAACATGAGGGGACTTGGCCAGGGCAGGCAGGAGACTCAGGTCCCCCCATTGTTAGAGACTTCTGCTTCCCCCATCATCACTGTTTGACTTGGAGAAGCCTAGGAAAACCTGTGTCTAGTTTTGCTTGATGACTCCAAGACTAGAGCTCTTAGTCACAGATGCCTGGGGTTGGGCAGGACAGCCCTTAAGGCTGACATTGGGAAATACTGTGGGTTTTGGGAGTCAGAAAGCCCAGAACATTCACACAGTCACTCTGCCTCTTCCTGTTTGTATCCTTGAGACTGATGCTTTGCCTCTTTAAGTCGCCATTTCTTCAGTTATAAAGTGGGGATCATCATGGGCTGTATTGTGGATATCCAAAACCAAACCCATTGCCATCAAAGTGATTCTAATTTATAACGACCTCTATACAGGGTGTTGAGAGGGCACATCTTTATAGGAGCAGACAGCCTCATCTTGCTCCAGCTAAGCGGCTGATGGGTTTGAACCATCAACCTTGCTGTTAGCTGTCCAGTGCCTAATCCACAGCATCACCAGGACTGAGATAAACCAGTCAAGACACTTAGGACAGTGCCTGGAACCTAGAAGATGCTCTTTTGTTTTTCACTATCAAAACCCCCCAACCCTGCCCTCTGGGGCAGGCCCCTGCTTTAGTGGTTCTGCAAAGACATGGGGAAATGCTCCCATATCCTGAGTTCTGAAGGAGAATTTCTTCCCTGAGGAGCCTCATGCTTGCTGGTCCTCAACCATCCACTGGTGTCCATCCCTGCTATGCACTAGGAAACCCACGTCCTCTTCTTCCTATCCTGAAAAAGTGAGAGCAGTGAGAGCGTTTATCCCACTTAGTCTTCACTGTACCTGCGAGGATGCCAGAGTAAGTGGGGCTTAAACCATTATGGCCTTAGGCTTATGGAGATGTGTAAGTCTGCAGCTTAGGCAGATAGGACTTCTTTGTAGGGGCAGAAGTCACCTCTTTCCGCTTGCATGGGTTAGGATGAAGGCCAAGGTGGGGGCTTACTTGTGCTTACTTACTAATCTATTATGATCAGTTTCACATGTTTTTCCCCACATGACCTTGCTTACTAGACTTTCCATCCCTGCCAGGGACTGTACTTTAGAAAAGAGGCTTTGATTCTGTAGGAAGGTGCTGTGGGGTTAGGAGAGAAACAAACTTAAAAACCATACCTAGAAGCAGAAACTAGATGAGTAAGTAAGCACAAAATTAAGACTGTTATCTGACACTTGCTAATTGGGTTATCTAACATTGCATCTCTGTAGTTCTCATGACCTCATGCTTACAAAATGGTTGCTGTAGCGCTAAGCATTGAATCCCTGATCAATAGCTTTCAACAGCAAAAAATTTTTTTAAAGGAAAAAGGGGGGAGGGGGACTGCTCACTCTAGGTCTTCCTCTTTTTTACCAGGAAGAAAAAGTTTTCCCAGAAACCTCCAGCAGACTTCTCTATAAATCTTGTTTGCCAGAGCCAGGTCACAGGACAATTCGTAAACCTGTCAAATACAATTAGGATTACAAGGTTTAATTTAGAGTCATCAGCAAGGGATCTGGCTTGTCTGCTTCCTGATAGTTGACAAAATCAGGGCTCTTCTAACAAATTGAAATGGAATAGCTGTTGGGTGGGCAGGTGCCAACTGTATCTCCCTCGTCGGTAATGATAGCTAACACTTCTAATACTAGGAAAGTGCCGAGCACTGGCTGAAGCACGATCTTTTTATTGCAGTTCCAACATCCAAAAAGCTCTCTGAAAACCCAACTTTGTCCTTAAGTAATTAATTGGCAATATCTGACTTACATTGAGAGAAGACTGTTTATTGTCTTTGTTTGTTTACCCAGTTTACAGTGTTCATATAATTGTGTTTAAAATATGACTGTGTTTGATTCCAGAGAGCTGCTATACCATCACATACTGTATATCATACCAATCTTTCTAACATCTGGAAAATTCTGAAATGCATTCCAGGGTTTTAGATAAGGGATTGTGGGCTTGAATTAAATCATTTAATCCTCCCCCAAATCTGAGATTGGCAATATTGCTTAATCATTCCATTTCCCATGAGAAAACTCAAACTCAGAAGGGTAAGTGACTGGTTCAGGGTTATACAGCTAACACAGGGCAGAGCCAGGCTTAGATCCAGGCTGCCTGGCTCCAGGGTCCATTTTTCCCTGCAGCTGACCTGGTGGACCTCTGCGGGCAGACGTGGCAGGGGGAGAGGTTGCTGTTAATGTTTACACTCGGTTTCACATGTGACCCGGGACACTGATTGCGGGCTTTGGATGTGGGCAGAAGTCCCTGGTGACAGGATCAGCTTACAGTTTCTCTTCTTTCTGGTCTACAGCCTGACTTCTGTGTCTCCAGTGCCCCCAAACATCTCCTCCCTGGAGTGGGACCCTTGTGCCCCAGGTCCTACCTGCAGTTCTACGAGGGCCCACCAGGGATGCCCCAGCCCCTGGGGCCTTCTCTCTGTGGCCTGACCATCCCAGCTCCAATGGTATCCTCTGGACCCTCCCTGGGCTTGCGCCTAGTCACTAGAGGCCACCAGCCTCGTGTGGATTTTGTGGGTGAAATCACCTCTTTCCATTTGGGTGGGTTGGGGGCAAGATGGGACAACTGATGGGGACAGCTGAAGGCTGTGGGTTCTGAGTTCACCAGTGGGAGTCCAGCCCCACTGGCTGCTGTACAGATAGAGAGAGGGTAGAGAGGGATACTGGGAGGTGATGACTGGTGAGGTCAGGAGATCACAGCAAGGGACATTCCAAACCCAAAGAAGCAATTCCATAAATCTGGTACAGGTAGGTGTGTATGCCAGATTCTGCTACCAGCCCTGGGCACACACTTCACACACAGATATTTCCCACAGTAACATCCACTGCACACAATGCAGCATACACCAACACACACACACTTCATATAGCCTCCATTTCACACACATACACAACTCGCATATAACTTGCATACACACAGACATCCCCCACACATCTCACACACTCCACACACGCAGCACATACCTCACACGCTGCACAATCACACAATTCACATCACACCTGCCTCACACACTCAAACACACTTTCCCACACTGGTTCCTTGGCATGGAGTCATTCCTTCAGATACTTGCATACGAGAGTAGCTAGGACTCGAGATTGTCAGTAACAGAGACTCACCCAATCAGTGAAAAGGACCTCTTGGAGTTAGTATTAATAATAATCACGTAGCAAGTATTGGCATTGGCCCTTTGCATACTGGAGCTTCTACCAGCAACTCGGTCCTGAAAATATCCTCCTGTTTGTAAACGGGAAAACAGCTCAGGGAGGCTAACGAGCATGCCCAGGTGCTCTCTGCTCACAGGTGAAGCAGCTGGACTTAAGTACCAGAGTGTTCTTCTCCCATTGAGTTCAAGGTTTTAGGGCCAAGGGGTTCCCCCTGGACTGGAGCACTTTGCTAATGTCACAGCAGAGACTGTCTTCAGCGATGGCAAAACCATGAGGTGTTGTTGTTAGGCTCCGTCAACCCTATAGAGGGTTTCTGAGACCTTAAATCTTTGTGGAAACAGAAAGCCTTGTCTTTCTCCCGCAGAGTGGCTGGTGGGTTTGAACGATCCACCTTGTGGTTCACAGGTCAGTGCTTCTTTTACAGAGTCACCATGTTCCCCCATGAAGTTTTATCATAGAGCAATATCCAGGTTGGACTATTCAACATGCGCTTGTATGCACTTTGAGACAGGAACATGGGGGGCTCTGAGAGCCAACACAAGTTCACCAAGAACTACACCTTGACATGCCTGGCCTTGGATGGTCCTCTCATGCCTGAGGTACTGAGACAGTGTCCTGATATGGTCTCTTCAGCCAAGTCCTGTCTCCCTTCCTTCCTGGATTGAAAACGGTCTGAATTTTAGACTTTAAACCGCCTCTCTCTTACCCATTGGAGTTTCTAGCTCCTGAATGTGCTGTATGAAATGTGCAACCTAGTCCTAGTGAGAGGTGCACTGGTGATACAGTGGGTTAAGCACTAGGTACAGTTTGAACCCACCAACCACTCTGCAGGAGGAAGATAAGGCAGCCTGTTTTTGTAGGTTTACAGTCTCGGAAACCCTATGGAGCAGTTCTATTCTGGTTGCTAAGAGTCAGTGGGTGTGTCTCGTGGCTACGATTAATCAGTGGTTCCTGGGGTCCCCTTTCCGGTTCCTGCCTGTCCCTATTCTGTAGTGCTACAAACGGTTTTCGCTGGCCATTGGAAATCAGCCCTCCTCTCACACTCCCTCCCTAGGACCTTGCCCTCCTTCAAGTGTAGCTGGTCAGCCAGGGAGGCCAAGAATGGTGCAGCTGCTCATGTTTTGAGCAGGACTGGGCTCCAGATGTGACGAAGCCCCATCACAACTCAGATTTTCTTGGGTCCGTTTTGTGTTCTGAATCAGGAACCATTCATTTCATACATTCCAGCTACACACACAGTCACAATTGCTGTAGCATACTGGTTACAAGATGGGCTGCTAACCTTAAGGTCGGCAGTTCGAAACTACCAGCTGTTCCATGCGAGAAAGATAAGACTTTCTGCTCCTGTAAAGATTTACAGCCTCGGAAACCCTATGTTGTTGTTATTAGGTGCCATCGAGATGGTAGCGACTCATAGCGACCCTATGCATAACAGAATGAAACACTAGCTGATCCTGGGCCAATCTCACAATTGTTGCCACGCTTGAGCCCATTGATGCTGCCACTTTGCCAATCCATTAAGGAGGCAGCTCTTCCCCAGTCGCATTTTGAGTGCCTTCCAACCTGAGGGGCTCATTTTCTGGCACTATATATGACAGTGTTTCTCTGCTGTTCATAAGGTTTTCAGTGACTAACTATTCGGAAGTAGTTTGTCACTCCTTCTTCCTAGTCTGTCTTCGTCTGGAAGCTCATCTAAAACCGGTCCACCATGGGTGACCCTTCTGATACTTAAAATACTGGTGGCATAGCTTCCAGAATTACAGCAACTCACAAGCCACCACAGTACGACAAACTGACAGATGAGTGGTGGTGGGTTGGAAACCCTATACAACAAGGTCGCTATGAGTTGGAACCGAGTCCACAGTACACCACCACAACCACATCTGGGGAACATGGTATCTCCATATGATAAGCACTGGACTGCAAACTCCAAGGTCTGCGGTTTGGACCCGCCAGCCACTCTGAAGGACAAAGATGAGGCTTTCTGCTCCCACAAAGATTTAAAAGCCTCCAAAACCCTGTACAAAGTCACTATGAGTCGAAACCGATTTGAAGGAACTTAATCACATCCAGCTTACATTTGACTCCTCATGGATTCCCACACTGGTTTGTTTTTCCTCTCTCTTAGACATTCATTCTTAGCCCTGTGCACCGCCTATAAGTTAGAGGATTTGTTTTCAGTGCTAAAGAAAGAAACCCAACTCTAATTGACTTCAGCCAAAGGGAATCTTGGAGGGATCCCAAACTGAGATATTCAAAGTAGATTCAGGTATAGTTGGATCCAAGAATTCAAATCATGGCACCTGGGCCCTGTCTCGTTTTCTGTCTTTGCATTGTGTGGGCATGTCTGGCTTCAAGCTCAGGCAGCCCCTCTTTTTGGCGGCTCTAAGTCCACATCATTCTTACAGTTACAACCTCAATAAAATCAAGAGCAAATGTCTTTTCTTAGGATTCTAGCAAAAGTCCTGGGCTGACTAGTCATGTGACTCATATGTCCATTACTGTAGCCATTACTGTAGGCTCTGATTGGCCAGGTCTGAATCATACGCCCAACTTTGAGTCCTGGTGTTGGTCAGTCCCACTTGAATTTCCTTTTCTCCACCGAATGGGATGCTATGTAGTCACACTTATTGGCATTACCCTTCATACCATGCTGTATAAATCTTTCACTTGTACTCAGATTCATTCATTTAAGAAATATTAATTGAGCACTGACTATATCCTGGGCCCTGTTCTAGGCTCCAGAGATACAGCAATGAATAAAACGGAAGTCCCTGACCTCTCCTTCGAGTCAGTTCCCACACCTAGTGACCCTGTATAGGGTTTCTGAGGAGCAGCTGGTAAGCTTGAACCATGGACCTTTTGGTTCAAAACAACCTTGCAATCCAGTGCATTAACCTGTAGCATCACATCTGGAAATGCAAATCAGAGTGAGGAGGCTACTGAGTACTGGTGTGTGTTGAACACATACTGTTCTTATTGGGGAATCTTCTGGATACGGTGACATTTGAATGGAGATTTGAGAAAATGAGCATGCAGTTACCTGGTGAAAAGAATTCCAGAGAGACTTGTAGGCAAGACCAATGCCCTATGTGAGCATCAGCTAAGAGTGGTTATGTTTACGTGGATTCCCAAATTTTCCATCCCAGGGTGGAGGCTGAGGATACTGGTGTGGTGGGAAGAGGGTAAATCCTGACATCAGACCCCAGTACTCCCCGTTCTTAATAGCAAGTCTTGAGCCCCGTCTGTGCCCATCTCCTGACCCTTCCAGCTTTTACTGAGGGTGGGCGCACCCCACTCTGAAGCCAGTCCCTCCACATGTGCACCTACCCCATTTCTCTCTCACCCACCCAAGGACCACTCTCTCCGAGTTTTTCACCATCAGACCTGGATCACTATTATACCCAGGCCGATATGTTGTCACTTCTGCCCTAAAACCAGCAAATTCTTGATTCCACACTTCCTCCATTTCTCTGTCACTTTACAGCAAGACTCCTTGGAAAAACGGTCTAGGTAGACTGTGTGGTCTCTCTCCTCCCAGCCTCTCTTGAACCCACTCCAATTCAGCATTCACTCCCACCAGCCACTAAGACAGCTTTCGTCTAGGTCATCAGGGACTGCCATGCTGCTGAACCCACAAGTCAGTACTCAGGGCTCATCTGAGCTGGTCTCCCAGCAGCATTGAACGTACATATCATTCCCCTCCTCCTCCTCCAAGGACCACACAAGCCATACCTTCTCAGTCTCTTTGCCAGTTCCTCATTATTTCCCAGAATTCCCGGGTTGCACAAATGGTTGAGTGCTCAACTAGCTGAAAGATTGACAGTTCCAAATCATCCACAGGCACCTTGGAAGACAGGACTGGTGATCTGCTTTCTAACAGTCACAACTGTGAAGACCCTCTGGGACAATTCTAGTCTGCAAACATTGGACTGCCATGAGTCAGAATGGACTTGGAAGCACACAACACCATGACCCTGACTCAAGCACTATGCTCAATTCCCAAGGCCTCTTCTCTTCCATTCATGCTCATCCCTGTGGTGACCTCATCTACTTATGAGCAAGGTGCCCTTGAATTTGACTCTGTGTCATCAGTTGGACTTGGCCTTGAGCTCTGCTCAGAAAACCACCTCCCTTCTTGACATCTCCACATGGATGTGTAGGTGGCACCTCAAACTGAACTTGCAGAAACTCAAATCTGGACTCCCATCCCCATCCTGCTCCTTGGCAGTCCTCCACTTCTCACTAAGGGGCAACTTCCAATCACAGTGGCACAGGCCCAAAGCTATTTAGAGTCGCCCCTCATGCCGTGTTCTCACAGCCACCTGGCAGCCATCACAGTCCTTCCAGCCCTCACCACACTCGGCGGCTTCTCAGATTTTGTGGCTCTAGCCACCACCATCAC